TTCCTCCGCCTCGACAATCCTCACCGGAGGTCGTCCAGGGCTAAAGGCTTGCCTTCCTGAAATGGTCGTTAAGAGGGTGCTCGTTGGCTCTCGGTCGCTTTGGGGCCCTGGAGCTTTCTGTCTTGTCATTTAAATGATTCCTTAGATCCTTCGTTTCTACTTCCCGGGCGGGGAGCCCACGAGAAAGGAATGAGTCCCTCGACCCTTCGCCAGAGGCGGCGAATTCGTTGAGCCGGCTTAGGACGTTTACATTGTCCTTTTCCAGCTGTCGTAATCGATCCCCAAACTTTTCTTCGATCACCTCCGCCAGCTGACGAGCCAAGGGGGCTGATCCTCCTGACCTGATGCCCATACTGGTTTGAAGGGTAACCCCTCTTGACTGAATAGAGGCATTTTTATTCCCATCAGTGTGATCCCTCCCTCCATGGTGACATGGAGCTTGTAATTCGAGACTTCTTTGCTGGGGATCTTTCCCTTTTTGTCAAGTATTCACCATGGTCACTGTTCTTTATAGAGAAAAAACTAGGAAAACTAGTCGTTTCCCACAGACGGCGCCATCTTGTGCATGCTAGATCTTGCACAATATAAACACGAGAACAGATCTCTCCCTTGGTGAACTCGAGTGAGTCAGTCGAATGGTCAACCCTGCTGCTTGGAACAGCTTGTGAGGTCCGGTGGTAACCTGGAACGGTAATGGGAGACCCTCGTGGATCAATGGAATGATCCAGTAAGGCTAAGGAAGGTTCCTGGAACAAAGAAAAACAAGTTAGAAGGGAGCCGGAGTGTTTTTCGGGTATCCCTTCCAACGATCAAGTCAGTTTTTGAGAGAGAGGAAGAAGAAAACACTGAGTATAATTTGTAGCAAAGGTTTTTCGTTGCATACCGTCTTGCTTTTTGCGAAGAGTATTTATACCTCAAAAACTCATGATTGCTGTCAGTGTGGTCAGTAGGTGATCATTAGGCACAGACAACGTGCGTACGATTTCCTATGAGGAATGTCTTCTCTTTTTAACTGCTCGGGATCCCGAGCAACCAAGGCTATGTCATCGGCCTGCCGACTGTTCAATGAGCTCCTCTCGGGGAGGATGTAATAAATGTCCAGCCTTAGAGACATTTATTGCCTTTCACTTCCGAGCCTTACCGCATTAAATGCAGTCTCATCAAGAGAATGATGTAATTAAATGCTTGTTTTCCCAAGTCGTGTGTCAGCAAGGGCATCCGGTCTTTCTGTTTCTGATGTGACACAATATGTCACGCGTCCATTCCCCATTGGCTGTGTCCCCTGCCTTCCTGTGCCTTCTGACACCAATTGTGTAAGACAGGGTCATAATAGCTAACCTAGCCTAGCCTAGGCTAGTGACCTGTACATCAATAGCTCTGCAGGAAAAGAGAATGTCATCCTGGATATTGGTACATATCGGTACCGAGGGGGGGATTGGTACATCTCGGAGCCGAGAGGGGAGGTACATATAGCGACCGATGTACCCATATCAGACCGAGGGATATGTGTCGGTACGTAAACGTACTGGATGCCACTTGATCCCTATGACAAGTACCTCGGGGAGAGGGACTTGTGAACCGATAGATACGTGATCTCATAATAAGGATTAGTGATACCGATAACACGTGTCTTCATCTTAGAGTATTTCGGAAATGTCCCATCAACTACAACTTTAAATGTAGCAGATTAAGAAAATATTGGTTTAATTAATCAACTTATGCCCATAATGTGTGTTTTGATCTTACTGTTTTTCTTAAACTTATTAATTATTTTGTTAACTTTCATATTCCTTAAATATCAAAATTAGAGAACAAATTATAGCCCTTCTTCTAACTCTATAACTTCCAAATGTTTTGGACTCTTTGCGATCTTTCATAAGTATGTATATCTATTAACAAATTAATAATCAAAAGTTAATTGCTTGAGTGCCTCACCTGTATGGTTATTTTTATCACCCAAAAATAAGATATTTATTACTACATCAATTTTATATTTGACTATAGAATCAAAAGCCGAAATTTCTGAGAGACACATAATTTGTTTTATTAGTTACACAAGATATATTAGTAATTAGCAATAATATGTGTCTGAAGTCACACTATAATACTGTAATATAAAAAAATTGAGCATTGATTATATAATATTTTATATTTTAAATAAAAAATTTATTTTCTCTAATTATGTAATTTAAAATTAAAATGAACAGAGAGAAAATAAGAGATAAATATCATTGAATTAGTGTGGTTGTCTGCCATTGAGGAGCATGTTGATTGAGTCATGTAGAGAAAATGTTATTTTTTAGTGGAGAAAAAATTGGACATAAATCAATTTTGATCATTATTGTATATATATATATATATATATATATATATATATATGCACAAGTGAATGATCAATATAAATGTAATATTCAAAAATTATAAAAATAAATAAATAAATAATAAAAATTATAGCTCAAAATAGTTCACGTACAGCGTACGTGTGCAATAACTAGTTACTAATAAAAATACCTAACATGAAAAATTTTGATTCACTATTTTACATTTATAAAAACCTCTAAAGACTAACATGTCATTTGGTATTTACTAGCAATGCACGATGTGCGTTGCACATTTTATTATAATAATTATGGTTAAAATAGAAAATCAAAAAATTTTCGTAGATATTGACATTTATAAGTAGTATAGAAATATATAAATTATTATTGTATCTCTATGTATTTAAATAACAAATTAATCTCTAACAAATCATATAAATATCTCTATCTTTGCAAAATTTTGAATGGTCATGTTTAACGTGATATATAAAAAAAGTATTATTTTTTTTCAAAACTCCAATATTAATACACGTCGATAACTTCATTGATATATTATCATCTCTAATGCCCAAAATGCATATATATAGTTTTTTTATTCAAAATCAAAATAATTTAGTAAAAAACTATTGAGACATCTGCAATACCAAAAAATGAATATATATATAACTTTTTTCTTTATTCATAATTAGTAAAAAATTATTGAGGCGCACATTAAAAACAAGAAAGACAAAAATAAATCAAAAAAAAAAAATTATAACCTTACTATTTGGTAACTCGAATGAAGGAATCAAAGAAAATGAGTCAATTGGATATTAAGAGTTATGAAGAGAATACAAATAATTTAAATATGATAAATTTAAGATAATATCTAATTTTACTATATTATTAGATTTTTTTATGTGTTTTATCAAAGATTTCAATAAATAAAATTTACGTGCAAAGCACGTGGTACATTGCTTTTATATCGAAAGGTATATAAACAAATAAAATATATGTCAACACAAATAATTAACTTTTTATCTACTTTCTTTCTGATTGTGGAGGGATTGATTTTGATATGTTGGAAGGAAAATCAATCTATCCACTTTTTCATCATTTCTATTTTCCTTCCTTATCAAACATGATATTTTATTTATCTCTTCAACTTTTCATCATTCCATTTTCCTATTACACCAAAAAAAATATTAATTTACTGACTTAATTCACTGTGATATTAGAATTGACTATGAACCCCATCAAATAATGAAACTTTATGTTATGATTCTAATGAAATTACATCATTAAATCAATAAATTATGTCAAATTTTTAAGTTTAAATAATATTCCTTTTAAAACTCGGCATTTCCTTCCACATTGAAAGATGTCTGATCAAAATAAAAATAAAAATAAAAAAATAAAAAATATTTAACTAGTATTCTTGAGATGTCTGTTCACGTCTCAAGAACTCCACATCTGATCACCTGCCTTGTACCCTTTTTCACAAAAAGGAAAAAACAAAATAATAGCTGATATAACACAAAAATACAATTTAAAATCGATAAAAAATTAACGGAGTTGATCATTTCTCGACATGAACTCGTATATAACACGACTTATTAACACAAATAATAAATGAGTTGGATTAGTGTCAAATACGAATAACATGAAATTGACATGATTAATATGTTTAAAAAGTATTTATACGAATAATATATCAATTTTTATTATATTTTATAAATTAGTGACCTAATTCTTGTACAAAAAATTTTTTTTACTCATTTTTATTGTTATATTTAATAAGATTATTTTTAGTTTATAGAAAAAATATGAGTATAAGTTCGATTAAGTGATAATAAAATTTTAAATATAAAACTGAGGGTTAATTTTTTATTCACAGATTATAAGGGTTAACACGAACACTACACAAAAATAAATAGATGGACACGACATGATTAGTTAAATGGGTTGAATTAAAGTTAATTAGTATTCAACACGAACCCGAAATGACACAACCAAACACGATACAATTGTCGCCCCTAGACATGGGTTAAATTTGAATGATCAGTTTTTCACCTTCTAAGAGTAACTCTAAAAGGAGTTGTCATTTTGGGATACCAAATTACTCATTTGTAATCTTGAACAGTATTTTGACACTTTTGAATTTTTAATCAGCTCTAATGGCAGGTGCCAAAATGAGGTGTCATTTTCATATTTTTATTGAATCGTTAAATCTATATTCATCTAACGGATAAATATTCATCAACTCGTTTGTAACCTCTCCCTTTCTCCCTTTAGAGTTGTCAAAAATGTCATTTCAATCTCTTTAGAGTTGTCAAAAATGTCATTTCAAGCCCATTGACGCCATTTTTTAATCCCATATGCCACCTCTTTGAAGTGAACATTTTTGAATTTGAGGTGGCGCCACCCCTTATGCCACCCCCTGGGAGTTGCTAACAAGTAAGGTTTGGTTTCGAGTCTTGTAGAATCGAAATGTGTATGTGGTTATAGTATCTAATACCTAAGTTAGATCCTTAGATATAAGACGCTTGGCAAAAAAAATAAAATAAATAAAACGAAGCTCGTCAAACTCAAGTACAAAAGAAACCTTAAAATCTTCGCATCAATTTCCATCCACAGTACTCTTATAAAATTCATTGAATATTGACTTTTGGGCCTTCCTCCTCTGAAAGAAGGTGACCGATTCTATGAAGGTAGGTACTGGCACTGCTCACAGAGAGCTGACATGAGCTCAGGGTTAAGCGGATTGACCAACCATCTACAGAGATTTTCAAAGAAAGAAATGAAACAACAGTAAAGGAGATCAGCACCATAAAAAAAATGCTGCTGTTGCTGTTGATAAGTATCTTGGGAGTTAGGAAGATAGGTGTGAGGAACAGTACTTCTGCATAGAGGACATGTTGAATGGCCGCCTTTTAACCAAGCATCAATACAATGAACATGGAACTTGTGTCTGCACTTGGGTAGTAGCCGGTACTTTTCGCCCTCGTAGAGTTGACATAAACACACCACACACTGGAGTACTTCAAGGCCATCATCATCTTCCTTAATAATTTCCTCCGCCATTAATGATGGCGGCGCCGTCTCGTGGTGGCTTGGCCGGTTGAACACCATAACCGTAGATGACCATATGGACTTGGCTTGTTGACGGAAGAGCAAGAAGAACACAGTGAGCAAGGCCGCCACAAAGACAAGGAAGACGATCATGGTGCCAATACTTATTATGGCAGTTTCTTCACTGAAATCCACTGCTAGATCGCCTCCCGCCGTTGTTTTTTGATAACTTTGACATGGGTAATGAGCAGTATCTGCATATAAATATACATATACATGTATATGTATTATGGTCAGAGGGTTGAATTTTGACTGCTAGAACGAAAGGAAGGTAAAGTGGAGTCATGAAACACAATGGATATGAGCGTGAATACTTCCCATCAGATCATTCAAACTAGTGACAAATTTGGGTCAAAAACGAAAAAAGGAATACCCAAGCAAAGGTCAAAGAGAAAGATTCGCTAACATGGGGACGGCACGCAGAATTGCCAACCCAATCAACCGTCCGTTCTATATGAGATGACTTTAGTGTCATGATGTTGGGCCAAGGACCCGAGTAAATGAGAAATTATATTTAAATTTAAAATGTTTGATATAATTTGTTGAGTTGATCCATCACAATAATTAAATGGATACTAAGTTCTAATACATGATAAGATTTATAGTTAAATCAATGATAGTGATCAATGAATTCAACAAATAATGTTAATATTTTAAGTTTAAGTAACATTGTTCTGAATAAATAGAATGTAACAGTTATACTATATCATCATTGACACGTAGAGCACATATGAATATTGGCAATGGAAGAGGGTGGCGATACGGAGGGTGAATCTGGTGGGAGAATCGTTGGAGAAGGTAAATAGTGATAGATCTGCAATCACATAAAAGGTAAGAAGGCCACCAAATGCTCGACGCATAGTTTTAGAAACCGGCCCGAACATCAACTCGACAAAAAGATTGGGTCAATGAATCACTGGTTAAATAGCTAAGTCACTGGTCGAACCAGTTATATAATAAATAAAAAATTATTATTATTAATAAATATGCTAAAAAAATCATAATAATTATTAAAATAACAGAGTTCATCCACATAAAATCAACTAAAAATCAATTATTATCAAACATGTATCTAATGTACCAAATTAAATGCTTAAGAGTCAACAACTACAACAAACATAAATGAAAACAAACAACAAAAAAACAGATACGGTGTCTTTATATAGACTGTACTTTAAGAAACCTGGTTCGAGAGACTTTAACGCAACTTGAAGTACGGGGAAGGTTGATCCATGTCCATCCTTAAGCCCTCGACCACGCTTTTCTTTGATTTATATAGTATATCCGCCTCATCACAGCTGCAGCAATAGACATTTTTCTTTTCTTTGTTTAGCAACAGACTTAAACAGCACAACCCAGAATGTGTTTGGGGAAAGAGATAATAAGTTATCTCTTTAAAACGAAAATTCAATATAACAAGCTAAAATTTTTCAAATTTTTCACTGAACGAAGTTCAATATGTACAAAATAATTAACAAAAAATTGGCATATAGAAGCTATAATCACCACCATTTAAGAGTGCAAAGAGACCGAGAGAGAAAGAGAAAAAGATGAGTGATGAAGTACTTTTCAAGTAAAGGATAAGGTATTGCCTTCGTACCTGAGAAAGGTTGATTCGTTCGAGTTCGTCACAAAGATTGATAGAGAGAGAGAGAGAGAGAGAGAGAGAGAGAGGGGGGGGGGGTTGAGTCGATGACTAAGAGTCATCGGACTCAAGAGAGGTAGAGGCAATGATTAGGTTTAGGGCAAAAATTCTCAAAAGGGCCAAAAGCCTATTTTTATGGTAAAAAATTAACCTGTGCGGTTCAGCGGATTTGGACAAGAATTGTCCGATTCAACGGGTTTTGAATGATTTTTATGTTCGAACAATCTAATTAACTACTCGGTCTGGTTTAATGACCGATTTATCGGGTCAACACGCCAGGCTGAGCCAAATTTTAAGACATTGTTTCGACATTCAAGTTAGTTTCTGAGAGAGGGAAAATGACAAAGCTGCAACATTGGTTATGGTTGCATACATTTAATATTAGTTATTGACTTCTACCGAATATGACCTCGTCAGACAAGTAAGGCGTTCTTGTCGAGTACTCAATATTGCATCAATGTATAGCTTAACATATTCGCTTTAGACTTACTAACAAATTAACTTGCTTCACTTAGTGCATATTGTGTTTTATGATTTGATTTCTGTGTTTGTAGGTAATTTAGGTGTAAAGGTGGAGATTAAGTATTGATATGATGGTAAGAGAGAAGTTAGGACTGAGTTTATTAGGTGTAAAAGTGGAGATTAAGTATTGATATGATGGTAAGAGACAAGTAAAGACTGAGTTTACTCAGGAAAAGATGAAGTCGTAAGAGACAAGTTAGGACTGAGTTTACTCAGGAAAAGATGAAGTCGAAAGTCTTGGGAGTCTTTTTGAAGAAAAGAGAAGTTTTTCTACCGGTAGGAAGACAGAAAGAAAGATGAAGATCTACGAGTAAAAATTTAGTTTTATCGGTAGCTTGAAGTATAAAAAATTAGCAAAAAATTCTATCCTAAGTCACATAATACGCCTGATAATAGGCACGTTCTCTTGCTCAGCACGTGAATTCGCGGATTGGGAGCTCCCCACGTCAATTCGCCAATTCATTTGATTTAATTCGAGACTTCAGCACAGTGAATTCACCACCTTAAATTTTACACACTGCCACACAAAAGCCGAAGCCCCCACGTGATTGCCTCTTGCGGTTCTAACTAAGGCACACGCCCATGCATCGATTCCTTGGTGAGGAGCCCCCGTGAACCACTTTATAGGCAGTCTCAAAGTCCCACCGTTTCTTGTCTCTCCAATGCGGGATACAGTGCAAAGCATGAAAATGCTTTCAAAGGTTTTTTGTTCTACCATGCTGTTTCCATATATGATTTAAAAGACAAATTAATAATAATACAATTTTAATAATTTATTTATATGTTGGTGTATAAAATTTATTTTTTTAAATTATATTTTTATTAATTCACTTTATTATATAGATGTATCACAATGTTATATATATATATAAATTTGGCGCTCTTAATGATGCTCCTACTCTCAACTTTTTTAAAAATTTTTGTGCTCTCGCTCGCGCATTATGTGATCTAGGTTCTATTGGTAGGAAAATTTACAGAAATTTATACTTTTTTATCAGAGAAGTCCTACCTGTAGGTGATACATGTTCTATTGGTAAGAAATCCCAGTACTTGGTCAAAGAAGTCCTACCGGTAAGTGAAGGATTTTCTACTAGTAGGAAAAGCTACATAAATTTTGGAGATTTTGTTAGACAAAGTTCTACAAGTAGGTTTCATTGTTCTACCGGGAGGTCGTGCTGTAGAATGAGTTGTAACCGGTAAGAAACAATGTTCTACTAGTATGTAAAGACAGATTTTCACGGGAAACTCAATTAAAGATTAGATTTTGCCAGATCTTTTGAGGATTCTCAATCAATAAGAAGAGGAGATAATTTTAGAAAGGGTATCTATCAAAGATCTGAAGATTCTCCCTCCGATCACAATAAATAGAAATCCCTGTGGGGAATAGGGGGATGCTTTTTCAACCTTTTCTCTGGTTTTCTACGTTTAGAGAGTGTTAGGGTTATTCTTTAGAGCGTTGTTATGGTTCTTCTTTTAAGTTCTGTTTTTTTAATTTTTCCAACAATCATACATTTGTTTGTTTTCAATTTCAAACTTTGTTATTTAAATTCAGTTTTTCAATATGAGCAATTACTTTCAATTCAATCTTTTCTGCTTTGAATTTAATTTTGTTATCTTTAATATCTTGGGCTTTTTACTTATCATTAGTGTTTAGTCTTCTCTAGATAATGTGAAGAAGAAGTCATAACCTATGAACTAGGGTTTATGCTTTAAACTAGGATTTTAATGTTTATGTGATTGTTTAAATAAGTTATGTTTTCGAAAATCTATTTGGTTTGCATACTTTTCGATTATTTATATACAATTGGCTTTGGTACATATAGTTAGTAGTGTTTTCTGATATTAATTCTTTCATCATTAATTGTCTTTCAATTGCTATTTTTAATTCTTTCCAAAGTTTTCAATTGAAAATCATCTGTTTGTACTAGCTTGAATACAAAAGCATATAAGTTATAGATTTGTAGTAGAAATTCTTGTTCATAGGTGTGATAAACTCTGAAAATTATCTAGTTTTTCCGATTATTGAATTTTGTTTTCATTAGTAGTTAATTTCCAAACTCTCAAATTTCAAAGAATTTTTCCTTTTCATTTTTCATCATCTTAGATTCCAAACCTTTCCCTGAGTCGACGACCTTGGACTTCTATTCAAGTTATTACATGATTACCATTCTACTATGCTTGGGAGTACTCGTAAAAATATAACCCTTTGGAGGGCAATCAGTTATAACATTATGTCATAGTAAAATTCCCCCGATTTAATAGTACATGAGGACAACTGGGGGGCTGGCCCTTGTTGATTGTGGTTCAACAACTCTCGAGTCGCACAATTACCGTGTCTCGAACCACGCATTTATAGCCCCCCGAGGATCTAAAGCTGAGCTTTTATTGTCCATTAATGCTCGAGGCCTAGCATTGATGGGGTGTTCCCCACTGAGCTCTCTTGATTGGATAACTTGTTCTATTGTCTTTTCTAAAGGTCCTTGGGACTAAGCATTGAATGGACCCCTCCTGTCGAAGCGTCGCATGATTGCTCTCATTACCCAAGGATGAGACTTACATCTGATCTACTAGGTTCTTGTCTTGTAGATAATACAGATCTAAAATTAATACAGATCTAAAGCGCCATTGTTGTTGGGTATAAATACAAGTCTAATACAGATCTGAAGCAATACCGAAGGTCCAAAGCTTGGTCAACAACTCAAAAAAGCTCCGGTCGTTCGGTTCGGTTCAACGTAGATGGAGAGAGGAGCAACACTAAAGCTTGGAGAGAGAGAGAGAGACAGAGAAAGAGACAGAGAGAAACAGTGGAGGGCCTGGAGGAGGTGCAACACCAAAGGTCCAAAGCTTCAGCCGTTCAGACTTCAGCGTAGATGGAATTAGATTAAAGTTAGGGAAAAATAACTTTATATATTTTCTGTGTAGCTGTCACTAAAAAAAAAATCTGGTTAATTTTTTTAAAATAATTATTAATTTATTATTATATTAATTTTATTAAACGGGTTGACATGTCTCACCCGAATACGACCCGTTTATTAAACGTGTAAAATGGGTCAACCCGTTTATCACTTAAACTCATTTAATATTTCTCCAAGACCTCATACCAAAAACAATAAGTTAGGTAAACACCATCTTCGTAGGTGGACTCGGGCACATTCGACCAACTTTCTCTTAATTTTTTCAATTGTAGTTCATTTGTTTTGTATTAGTAAGGATTTTTTAGTGGATTTATTTGAATTCATACTTTACCATTGAAGAAAATTATTGAAGAATATATTGAATAGGATTCAAATACACCATAGAGCTATATT